TTCAGCAATATATCTGCAAAAGATAAGAGCGAAGAAAAATTCAACAGGCGGTCTCTCAACAACTTGTTGACCATTTTCCTGGAATTTGCGAGCGGAAGGCAAAATTTCAGCAACGCGTATTTTCCGGCGCCCGCCTGCCCCCGGCGATTGTCTGAGTATGTGGCAGGGGGTGTCATCGATGGTTTAATTGCCCGAGTTTGGGGTTAGGCTGAAGGAAGGTACCCTGTGCAGTGCGGTCCTTCACAAAGGACCGTGCGGCCCCCAACAATTTTGCATATTCTCGCGGAAAGTCCGCGAGAATGCGGCCTGGATGCAACTTATCCACAGAAAGACCGCGATAGTTCTCCGAGCGTTCGTCCAGAATTGGCCAAAATTATTCCAAATTTCTACAAGCGGGCCGCAAGAAATCACCGAACTATTTTTCCGGTGCCCGCTTGCTCGTCGCATGGCCGCCTGCCTCGACGATTATCTGAGTATGCCATTGTATACTACAAGCCTTTCTTAGTATAAGATTTTTAGAGTAGCTGAAAAATTTTGATTTTTGGCTCTAAATTTTACCTCGACTATGACTTAGATGGATCTCTGGTGGCCTTTTGTAGAGCTTGCTTCGCTCTATAGAATGGTACTTTTAGTCTATTAAGAAAACAAAAACAGCTCACTCAGCTCACTTGGAAATAGATTTTATTTTTGGGGCAAACTAATAAATAGTATGAAGTCTAGAAGCGTTTCTCATTCCGAAGATTTCTAAGTAGTTTTTAAGTAAATAGAGCTACCTAGTTTGCGTGCAGTCTAAGGGCTAAAATTGCGTTTTTTGGCGTTTGGAGTTAATCACTAGGTTAGGTTAAAGGCAGTGTCCCGGCAAGATGGGAGTTTTGGGATTTTAGGCCATGCCAGAGTGGCCCCTCAGACACAACATCGTGCAAGTGCGATGTCATAACGCTCGATTTAAAGCAAGAAAAACGACCGGAAAGTGGGGAAACTTACGCCTCGGGGCGGGGTCCTCCTCAAACTTCAAATTGTGCGGCTTTGGAAAACATATGTTCTCGTCGTTTTTGAGCCTTCTAAAGTGGATTTCCGGATTCAGCGTTGCGAATAAGCTCCGCTAAGTGGATTTTCTAGAAATCGAGTTTTTGCCACTGCCTTTAACACATTCATGACAATACGACCCGCCGGTGGGTCGTACGTGTTTTGCCGTTTCGGACAATACGACCCACCAGTGGGTCCTAAGATTCCTAAAGCTCTAGCTTTGCTGCCAGTATACGATGGAATTTTACGGGGTTCTGGCACATGATTGGGGACACCCTGGCGAAGCTTCAGCGAGAGTGGTGCGGGTCGGGATACTGTAAAGAAAAAATGCGATAGGTATACCGTAGATAGAGATAAGGCACAGACTTTAGTTCTAATTCTTCGCAGAGTGGTGCTGTTTTTAAAAATATCAAGTTTGCATGCACGAGAAATACAGGAAGGGCACGAGGCTGATGTCAGCCCATCAGAAATTATCGATTTTATTGATTTTACTGATTGTTCATCCCAGGAAGCTCAAACCTTATATATAGGTTTTTTAGCATGCTGATTACGAAAATGATAATCTTAAGTCTAATACCGCCTTCTTATATCAGTTTCTGATCCTTCCGAAAATTCTACCGTACTGCTACCGGTAGTCCCGCTATGAGAAAGTAGTGAACAAAGTGGACACTATAATCGTGATGAGCAAGTGAAATAATTCCAAAACACAATTTTTCATGAAAATCCATGATGTTGGGTTGGTACAGAATGACTACCGTAATCTTACCGTATACTGCCAAAAACTGTAATAAATCATATTTTGGTAATCAGCGACTCCGATAACCCTTGTGGGGAAATTCTCGGAGACATGCTTTGAATTTCTTCCAAAAAGACTACCATTTCGGACAATACAACCCACGGGTGGGTCGTAAATTTGACAAAGCAAAAAAGGCTCTGGTGCGAAACGGCAGTAATCGAATGTCGTGAATGTGTCAAGCAGCACTGATTTGCGAAAACTTCGCGGGACTAGAGGAAAACGCCGGAGATAATTTGCCAGAGCTTCCCCTGTCCAACTGTTTAGGCATGCTGGGCGACGCAGGTGTGCCGCAGAGGTATTTATGGGAAGCTGACTGGGGCCACATTGTAGGGATCGTCTACGCTTTTTTGTAGAACACCGCTCATCTAATACATAAAGAATCGTAGTGCCAATTTAAAGATCTTCCAATAGCGAGAAACCGCGGTGCGGTCCGGAAGGGCGCGGATGCAGTCTAGCACCTTTACGGGGCTCATCAAACGCAGTGTCGCTTGCATTAGCAACTCCACTCCCGCGCTGGACTCTGCATCTCTTCCGCGAACATTCTCTGATCACTTTCCCAGGGCGAGCGTGGGAAAGGCGGAGCCTCAATCGATTGGAAGTGATTAGAGACCATGTTCGCGGAAGAGACGCAGAATCCAGCGCGGTAGTGAAGATGCTGATGTAAGCGACACCGCGTTTGATAAGCCCTGTAACTACTGGTTCACTAGTAACTGAATAAAAATCTCTCTGGATCTCCTTTATTCGCGTCCCCTTATTTTAAAGTGAATGCCTGAGCAGAGAATTTCTCCTCAAACGAAAATATCCAGGAATCGATGCTGTTTTTTTAGAAATTTGCATATTGATCGATAAGACGCTGACTCCAAAATTCCATTCTTTATCTGCGGAACGCCTCTGCAAACGAAAAATGGCACCCGTTTTGTCGCAGTTTTGTGTATGCAACATCCTGTGGGCTTACCATGCATGTTTGGATCAGTGATAGGCCAAAACTGCCTACAGAGTCTACGCTCAGATGTGAGCTCACTGCAACTACACATCAAAATCTACCTTTCAATAGACAATTTCTATTGAAATTCTGATAATTTTGTTCACGAAGAGTTTATGAATCGCTAAAGGTAGATACGCCAGCGTCCTATGATAGATTGAACGATATGCGGTGGAAGTAGCCGCGTTAAATTCCTAACCATCTCCTTGTCAGCTCAGTAAGGCCTAAGGCATACCTCACGCGATTTTAGTCGCCGCGCGATTTGGCACTGCAACGACTTTCCATAGCTGGTCGTAACACTTTGTTTGGGCCAGACTTGTTGTATTTGTTACAGATTACGGGATCTAGGCAGCCATGCATCTGAGAGCCTCGCATGCTTAATCTCTAGACATCTGGCAAATCGCCAAGTCGCGAGGATGTGGCGATTTCGCGAAATCGCGAGAGGTATGCCTTAGGCCTATCTTATAGCATCGATTTAGTAAATCCAAATAAGATATATGTGCGGCAAAAGGTAAATGTTCGCCTTCTTTTTTCTTCAAAAACCAAAACAACACGATGACCTCATACTACAGCCAATGCACTGTCCCAGAAAGTTTATGACAATTTATGACGTATGACAACTACATTTACTCAAAGAGCTTGGCGTTTTCAAATCGGGTATTTGGAACGGGTTCTCTTCAGTATCTTTGATGGTATAGAGACAGAGCATTGAAGGCACTGTCCTGGCAAGAAGTCGATTTTGAGATCTCGTGCTTATCTGGGCCTATTGGCTACGCTGAATACGAGAATCCACACTGAGAAAAGCGCGCGAAAACGGCGTAAAAGGGCTCTAACGCAGGAGAATCAGCAGGTGGACGGGACTTTCACTCTGTGTAATCACTCTTCCAGCTTCAGAAGCGATTTTCCCGGTTCCGATTTCATGTCACTAGTTACCCTTTTTCGGTGGCGATGTTAGAGCAGCTAGCGGAAGCTAGCAGATCGTTACTGGAGCTGGGAGAGTGACTTCACAGCGTGGAAGGTCGCACCCACATGCTGATTTCCCTTCTGTGTTGAAGTCCTTTTTCGCCGTTTTCGCACTCTCCAGTGTGGATTTTTGGATTCAGCATAGCGAACAGGCCCCAGTAGGCACAAAATCTCAAAATCGACTTCTTGCTCGGACAGTGCCTTTGACAGTGAACTGAGTCCTTCCCGTAAAAAATAGAGATTATATCTCCGCGGAACCCTGAGTCAAAACCCTGCAACATCATTTATCATTCTGTTCTTGAGATTGACTTGAACGAGGTCGAAAATCACTCCTAAACGTAAAATCATCTTTGTCTGCGCCTGTTTGCGCACGTTTCGAGCGCAGTTTCTGGTCTTTATTGAACTCCAACAATCTTTCTGGTTTCCGAGACTCATGCGAAAGCAACAAACCGGATTGTGTGAGAATCACTGCTGCCATTCTCGAAAAATAAACTCTTACAGAGTTACTTTTTGAGCATTAAAAGTTACAAAAACGCATCTCTGCTTTCTTCTTATCTTCATTCACTATCAGTTTGGTGTGGTGGCGCATCGCTAGCACGCCAACTCACAATCACATCGAATTGATATTGAATGAATGCTGAGTGTGTGTTCTGTGCTTCCTTGCATCTCTCAAAGTAAAATAATTAGCGCCACAGTACATGGCTTTATCGAAGATATTGGTGCGGGGGAAATGCTGGGTGAAGCTGGGATAAAGTTGGGATGCCATCTTTACTTATCTGACCCCTACGAAGAGCAGTGACTACTGTCAATAAAATGGTTATTTTTCTTATGTTCAGGCGGTCTGGACGGCGAACACATTAGCAGCCGCTGACAATCACTTTGCAAAATGTAACGTTCGTACAGCAACCCTCATCGTCATTGAGAATGATGAAGGGTTGGTGTATTAATCGAGGAAACGCATAGCTTCAGAAGATATAAAAGGGATCCTAGTCTTGAAGGTGAGGTCAAGATAGCGCAGATTAGGAAGAAAATTTGAATACGATCTTGTTACAGCAGTGACAATTGCTCAGATTTGATCTAGGAATCCGTCTACTGGGACAATTTGGCATCATACATCTATTTTGTTTTCTAAAATCACTTTTACACACTTTGACACTTCGCTGAGCACGAAGTCACATAATTCTGTACACAGCCCTTGCTTTGCCTTGAAGATCACTCAATCACCAAACCTACCCCTGGGTATCCAACGATGAAGTTGATACGAATCACCTTCAGATCTTCAAAAGGAATTGCGAATGCCCGCGCGTTTTCTGCAATAAATGCATTTGAAAACGTAAGCATTCATGTACGTATGCTTTGCTGTGCTAATTGACTGGAACAAATGATGGCACAACGTCCCAAATCAAGCACCTTTTGTGGCAAAAGCAGTAAATGTGAATTTTAGCAACCAATTATATAATATTGTTAACTTATGAAAAATTCTCAGAAAAAACCTGCTCCATATTACATCGTAGGAGATTTGGACAAATTTTATCAAAATGAAGTGCTTCTGAAAAGATGCGCGTTGTCAAATTCTGCGAAATGCCCTTGAATCGTTGTAGGCTCAATGAGGATGCATTCCAAAAAGGGAGGCACTCAGCCCAGTTCGACGCATATCAGCTTCTGATGTAATGCTGCCTTTCTGGTTACGGTAAGCAGTCAGACAGCAGCAAGAGGATTGGGCCAGAGCGGAAAAGAACATCAAGTAATTTCAGGGTGTCAATAACGTATGTCGTTTACATTTTTGTTCGTAAGGTAAGCTATGCATAGCAAAACCGAAAACATATTAATTTGGTACTTCTACAGGACTGGGCTCCAGTGCATACAGATTTCAGCAGCCTAATGTCAAAAAATGGTATGTGAAAAAAGTATCATTGCGACAATCCGTCTGCGAATCCAAGATATTTCAAATAGAGCATAGTCTGAGGAAGAAGACTGCTTACAGCAATAATTTCTCTTCTCCAAAATAAAACGCAGTACTATAAACATGGCTTTGACTGGGGTAGGTGGGCAAGCTGAGATGTATCGTCGATTTGTTGACCGCACGGACTGCTCTAACGCTGCGGACCACACGCGGCGCTGCTGAATTGTCGCGAAAGCACGACCTATACAATGGCGAATTTGTACTGGGACAAGCGTTTGACCTCGCGGCGCGTGCTCCGCAGTGTTGTCCTGTAGGTGCTGTCAACGAATCAACTATAGTCAAAAGCTTCTTTCAAAATCGCTGTTCAGCTTTTTCACTGCGAGTCGGATCAAAAAAGTGAGTAACAACTACAAGCCAACCCTTTGCTTCTTAGAATCTCTTTCAAGCTTTTGTGACAGAATACTGATACAGTCAGGATAGCAATACAATGTGGAGGAAACTCTCCGTTTTTGGCCACTGTTATTTTATGTATTAGAAATCTATTTTCGACGGGAAAGTTCCCCAGTCGTTATGTACACCAATGAGACATTACCGGAGTCTGTTGGAATGTAGACTTCGTGATTGAAAATCAGTGAAAGCGTATTTGCATCGTCTTCACAGAACTGATTAGGGTTATTATCGAAGCAAAGCCTCATCCTGTAATAGTCGTTCAAATGAGGGTTTTGATGCACAGAAATTTATATTAAAAGCAAATTTCCATTATTACCTTCAGTTTGTAAATGATTTTATGTAGGTGGTGTATCTACTATCGCAAAACTTACAATAGCGCAACCTCACAAGAGATACAGATGGACCGCGTCAATATTCAACCCTGTTTCCAGTGGCCGTATTCATCAACGAACCCTGAGGGTTAAGCTTACCCTCCAGGGTTAGTTTAACCCTCGGGGTTCATTGGCCGTATTCATCAACCATAGGCTAGGGTTTACCACGGAACGCGATCTACCTACCTGTATCGATCAACGAACCTGTGGCCGTATTCATCAACCCCGAGGGTTAAACTAACCCTGGAGGGTTAAGGCGTCAGATACGCATGCGCTGTGCAAACTCACATCACAGAATGCCTAAGTGCGGGCTAAATTCACTTTATACTTCTATTCTTTCACTGTTATAGTAGTATAGTCAACGAATAAGCTTCTAACACTAGTTTTTATAATACATCTCTAGCATACTTGTGCAGCATCCAATCTTACAGCAGTTTATTTTCATGTGTGCAATTGTGCAGTGTAAGTTCTACTTTTGCGCAATTCGTTTTATACCGGGCTTGTGCTACTCTTTTAGGGGTCAATGCGTGTTATTATAAAGGGGTTCTTCTTTTTTGGCACTTGTCAGAGTGGAATGCCATTTTTCCTCGTCGCATTCATTTGTCACCAAAGCTAGATTTCTTTTTCTCGCGAAGTCAGCGTTTTATGTACTTCGAATATAAACATAAAACGAAGTCGAAACTAAATACTTTAATAACAACCAATACTAAATACTACAATACTCGTTGATCGTTTTCCATAAACCATTACATGCGAAATGTTTGTATGGAATGTTAGGGTAGAGTTAACCCTGCTATGAGCTAGGGTTAAATTAACCCTGATGAATCACGTAAGTTTAACCCTCCAGGGTTAGTTTAACCCTCACGGTTCGTTGATGAATACGGGTTAGTCGCTTTCGGGGTAAATTTAACCCTCAAGGTTAGATTTAACCCTCAGGGTTAAGCCTACCCTCCGTTTCATGAATACGGGTTAAACGCTTTCCAGGGTTAAACTAACCCTCCAGGGTTAGTTTAACCATCGGGGTTCGTTGATGAATACGGCCACAGGTGTACGCCTCACCACAGTTTGTTTCAAACACTGTTCGCCCTTTCACACAGTCTCTAGTCGAAGCGCTTCAAGGTGAGGAGCCCCACTTTCGTTAAACTTTTAGTAATCCTGTGCGATAGTATCAAATTTGCAAGTGAAGGCCTCAAACAGTTAGCAAGCCAAAGCACTTTGTCCGGTGTTCCCTAAGAGCTTCCATAGTGCTGGGGTAGAGCTGATCTCATGGTCAACGGAGAAATCGCGCTTTTCTAACTTTTTCCCGCAAAAAGAAAGAAAAAACGATGCAACTATGGAGAAGCCTCAGACATTGATCACACTTCGAGTGATTTCGCCAAATCGCCATCGTCACGCAATTCAGCAATTTTTCAGCTGTTGACAAATCCACCGCGGGCGGGTCTCAAATACCTAGGCGCACAAATACCGTTCGTAATTTTTGAATAAACGAGCACAATCGCCTGATTGATGTGACATCACCGTAGCGTGGCCATATCTCGTTTCAGGTGGACGAATTCCTAATCCAAGGGCACTTCGACTCAGCTCGGCTCGGTGCATCTTCTGATATATGAAGCGCCTGTTTGGACACGGAGGCCAGATTCCACGAATCGTTCCGGATTTTTGTATGCAGTAGGTTGCTCAGTGAGAGCAATGAATAAGGCATAAGGCATACTGCGTAACTCAAAGTGGCACTTTCAGTTATCAAAAGATGCGCCGCGCCGAGCTGTGTCAAATGTCGAATGGTGCCCTTGAATTAAGACGTCCACTTTGGAGCGAGATATGACGCAACGGCGTTGTCACATGAATCGGGCGACTGTGCGCCGTTTTTTCAGGAATCACGGGCGGTATTGTAGCATTCGTGAGTTGATCCAAACATGCCAAGTCTATCTTACATAGTGCTTGCGGTGAAATTATGAACACGTCGCAACAAAGATAGCGCAGCGACCGAAATCGCAGGACGTATCGTCGATTCGTTGAACGGACGGACTGCTGAAACGCTGCGGATCATGCGCGGCGGGCTAATGTTGCACGAGCACGATTTGTACAATGGCGATTTTGTACTGGAGCGAGCGTTTTACCTCGCAGCGCGTGCTTCGCAGTGATATCCAGTCCATGCGGTCAACGAATCGACTATATAACCGAAACCTTAAGAAAAACTTCTTCAGGAACTTTCCTCTTGCTCAGGTGGCTTTAAAGAACTGGTAATCGCCTTAAAAGCACGAATGGTTACAATACTACAAATACTATTAACACGTTGACGACCGTGTGTATCCGCGCGTATGCACGCCCTGACCACCTTGTAGCACTTTCGTGCATCAATTTATCATGTGTAAACGAAAATTTCTCAGGTAACTTCTATGCAGTAATAATACTGATGGCCTGGTTGTCATTTAGAACACACGGCATTGCGGTAGCTGTTGAACAGTCCAAACCGCTACAAACAAAGTGAACACAGACGCGGTTCAATCACTTGTTTCCCGAAGCAAAGACGCAAAAGCGCACCTTCGTGTCTCTTTTCGCTGGGACAATTGCCTTGGTCCGACAGTAAACTTTACCTGATAGCTTGGGTACGTGTGCCATTCCGCAGCATATTGGGAAAAGGTAAATACGCACTTGATTAACAGCATTAAAAAAGAGAAACACATTGTTGACGTTGATAATGATATTCTTTTACATTCTCCAAACTGTAGCCTATTAAAATCACATCTGTTTGTCGCAGACAACATTTGCTCCTAAAGATGACTATGTGTGCCTCATAGCTATTTGTGCCGAATCGCAATCAAGTTGCACAAGCATAGCGCTGGTTTCCGCTCAAGTTCATCATCAGTACAAGGGCGATGTATTATTCGCCAAGGCTACCATTTACATATGTTGATAAGAAGAGAAATAATACAAAATCTCACCATTCACATTCATCCCCTATTTCAATCAAAATTGATTGGAGGCTAGTAGCTTCCTTACACTTGGCGTCCCCCTGAATGGATTTACATGATGAAAACTGCCAAATGGATGTTATGCGAGAACACTTGCGGAAAGTAAAGCAAAATCATTTAGAAGCGTCATCAAAACGGATTGATGTCGTAGAAGCTAACAAGTAAAAGCATTCGGCTAAATATGGTCTCTCCCTATAAGCGAAATTCCTAAAATGCTGGTCACGAAATGGTCTTCCATACTTAGTAAACGCTTGAACAAAGGTGTTTGTTACAGGCTTGTTTGTGCTCAAATAACATTAGGCTTGGGGGTTTGAAGTGAGACCAACATAGTCAAGTGGACCTTTGCCTTTCCTTGTTCCAAATGCAGAAAGTATAACAGACAACTTGAATGCAACTTAAGATAGCTTTCGCATTTATAGCGGCATCGCCATCCAAAAACATCCGCACTATGTATCTGATGGGAGAAAATTTCTCCAACTTTGTTCCTTGACTCGTGAAGATATGAAAAGAAATTTGTAATCAGCGTTCTAGGAACTCTCAGGTGATATACGTCTTGTTGCGAAAGGCTACTTCAACGAATGCATTCCTTTTTAGAGGCAGTGTCTCGGCAAATTTTCAATTTCCATCTTCCTGCCAGTGTTCCGGCAGGCATTCGATTTCCACCTTTCTGCATGTCTCAGGCCTTTTCGATATGCAGGACCCAAATTTGAGGATAAAATGGGTGTAAATTGCGTTATCGGGGAGTTTACCCGTTTTGCAGCAAGCACAGAAAGAGAGAGCTCAGACGATCCTGACAAAAAAAAACTCCGTCGTCTGTAATTTTTGCACTGGATAGCATGCACAATGAAGGGTGGTCGTGAGGTCCCGCGAACAGGGAAGAAGCTGTCCGAGCGCGTGCCGTGGGGTAGAGAACGAACACTTCAATTAGGCACCTCCTCCGCGAGCTGCTGGTCCTTTCGTCTACTGTTGTGCATCATGTTGGGTCCAGTAGTCCGCGGAGGCGGTGCCTGGTTGAGAGGTTCGTTCCTTCAACCCGCGCCGAGACGGTCTTTTCACAGAGTGGTCTCCAGCCAGGGCCCGGCACGCGTTGGTTTGAAGCGTTTCCGGAAACGAAGTCCCCCATGACTTCGCGAAAATTTACGAAGTCCCTCTCGATGTGAAAATTACTAGGAAAACCCTTATTCAACCAAAATAGCAACAAAAAAGCGAAAAAAGCGCATTTTGAGGTAACTAATACAACAAAAAAAAAGCAAAAAGAAAACATTTCGAGTTGATTAAAGGCTCTGTCATTGGGTAGTGTACCATTTTAGCGCTCAGAATGTCGAGAACCTCCTAGGCCAACCAAATCTGTGGCCTCAACAATCTGGCAGTGCGTTTTTCGCCACATAGTTCAAAGGACACCGCGTGTGATTGGAGCGCAATATCTATCAAGGCGTATAGATTTGCACTACTTTTGGCTCAAAAGAAGAGGAGAGGCAATAGTTTGATTCGCTCTCTTCACTATATAATAGATTTTTGAGCGTTTTAATCGTCCAAATCAAAAAGGTCCAAAACTTATGTGAACTCTCCGAAATTTATGCTCCGAACCAACCCAGTTGGTTCGGTGGTTGGTCTAGAAACCAACAAATCCGGAACGAGTATTCAGACACATAAGTTTTGGGAACTTTTTACATAACATAGTTTGGAGTAATATTGTATACTCATAGCCCAAATTCGGAGCCATGTGATTGTTTGTGCGCTGTAAACAAGCCATTTGTTTGTTTGAGTCTTGCATTTGAAATTCGCGCGCTTGCGAAAGAACACGTTCAACTCGTGAGACCTGACATGTTCGTCGTGTTTTTTGGCGCTTCCTCCAGGACCTCATAAAAACGATGTCCCCGTTGCTTCTAACTCCAAAAACGAA